CTGCCACTGTGAATTCATGACACGGCTGCCGTTCTCTGAGTTTCCTTGTGTAATGAGGACATCATTGGTGGGCAGCTGTTGCAAGGCTCTTCTGGGGACCACCATTGATCCTAGTGACACGTGATAAGCTCTTCTCCGCACAGCACGACTGGCATAATGATGTAGGCTCTTGCGGGTTTGGGTGAACATGTGTAGCTTTCAAAGACCTGATTCTTGAGTTTGCTAGTCATGGAACCTGGCGCAAGTGGGCCAAAAATAATAACCAAGGCAAGCCAAGGGCTTCACTGTGCTGGACACTCTTTGCAGGGATTCACTAATAGAAACTATTATTATCCTTTTAAAGATAGAGGAACTTAAGCTTAAATAAATTAGAGCCACACTCTACCAGCTAATGGCTTCAGACTCTTTACACTCTCAGCCACAGGCCTCACCCTTTTCTGGTAAGCTCATAATATGGTCAAATCTTCTTCCATGCCCAGCAGATAGCTGGTAAGAGATGATGAAATAAAGCAGATGAAAGCTTTATAAAATCCCAAGATTTAACCATGATTATTACAAAGCTCTGGTTTGTATCTTGCATCTTTGAATAAACATAACTCCCCCAGGAAACACATGGCTCCCCAAATGTTTTAGTGGTGTTGTTTAGGAATGGTAGGACTAACTGGTCCCTGAGCACTCCCGAGGGCTCAGAACATGCCATGCTTTGTTCTGGGCCTTGCCTAACCAAAAAGAAGCTTCCAGTGTAATAGAAAAAGAGGTTAAGAAAAAAAAAATCCTAGGGTATGCTAAATTCAGTGCTGGAAGGAAGCACAGAAGTACCGTGAAGATCCCTAGGGAAGGGGGAAAAGCAAGCCAGAGAAAAGGCGGAAGAGGATCAATAAAAGGGACAAGAAGGCTTTCTGGCCACAAGGAACAAAACACTCAAAGTCACACGGCACTCACCTCCAGAAGGTGGTTGGCAGGAAACATGATAAAGTTTAAACAGATGAATGGAAACATGAAGAGGGCAGGTGAGTTAGGTAACACATCTCAGCCAGTCCAGCCACACACCAACCATGATCTTCCTCACGGTGGTGGCGGAACAGACGCCAGGATTCTTTTTTCCCTTTGGCGAGACTGTTTTGCAGGCAACCAGTGTTGCAAGACGTCGCGGCAGATAGATCACAGTCGCCCAAGTGGTATTTGTTTGCTGTGAAGAGATAAATAATGCATCACACCTATCTGTTTTCCGCTTGATGCCTTTAATCTGAGGGACGACACAGCCTCTCCGTGTTCTCGCACCTCAGAAGTCAGGCTGCCTGTTTCTCCCCCAGGGCCTTGCAGATTCTGTAGTCTCCACATTGAGGCACGAGGCCTGCTCTCAGTCCCGTACAGCAGCCAAATAGAAAGGCAGACAATAGGCATGGTGGCCAAAGACATGGTCTTTGAGATCCTGGGCTGCCATGCAGACCTTAGAGCAGCCCTTCTTGGTACCAGGCTAGAGTGAGATAGAACCCCGGGGTGGTTCCCTCTTTTTCCCTCTAGAGTTTGTGTCAGCCCTTTTGAGCACTGTCCTGTCATGGGGAACACGAGCCCTCAACATGGTCTCTCTCTGCTCTCTACAGCCTACAATTTTTTTTTTTTTTTGTTATTGCTCTGACTGCTGCTTGCCCCCCCCTTGCATCCAGTATTCTCCTTTTGACACTTGAAGCAGAGTCTGGTGGATCTCTTGAGTCTGAGGACAGCCTGGTCTACATAGGGATTTTCAGGACATCCAGGGCTACATAGTGAGACCCTGTCACAAAAACTACTCACTCACTAAATAATTTAAAATAGAAAAAAAAAAAAAAAACAGGTTCCCTCTTCCTAGGTGACCTTAACTTCTGTCAAGTTGACAAAACAAAACAAAACAAAACAAAACAAAACAAAAGCAAACCAAAGAACCCTAATACTATTTAGCACACCATATTAGTGACCTCTGGGTTTGATTGAGAGACCTATCCTCAAAGAGAGACTCAAGAAGGCTCCCTAAATATCTCGGCATCAACCTTGGACCTCCATACACACAAGCACACACATGAACATGCACTTATACACGCACAAACACAGAGGACGCCCAACCCCTAGCAGTTAGCATATAACAAAACGTTACTAACTCTAGGAGCCATGTTTTACAGAGATCTCATGTCCATTGATTGGCAGCTCTGCCTCTCCCCATCCTCCTGGACATGGCAACCATTAAAATCCTCTTTAATTCTATGGGTTGTGCTGCTTCCGACACCTCATGTAAGGGGAGCGTGTAGTCTTTGTCCTTCTGAGCCTGGCCTCCTTCAGGACATACCGTGTCGGAGGGCCAGCCTATGCCATAAATTGCAGGATTTCCTTTTTCTCTAAAGAATTTTAGTGGATAGGTAGTGTTTACAGACGAAACGTGTCACTCCCAGGGTTTCCATCAGATTCTTGATTTCTCTAATCTGAGAAGGGAGCACAAGGATACCCCACCTTTCCTTTCCTGGTTGTTTTCACCTGGCTTCATCACCCTGATAAACTGGGAGTAATCCAGAACTTTAGGCCTTGTCTTGCTCAGCTCTCCACATTCCTCATGGTACTTGTGTGGTTAGTATTTTGTTCGTAGGGAAGAATGTTACAATGTCCCCACGTGAGTCTTGGACAGCGAATCCATTCAATCTCCTGAGGGATTTCTGAATCCTGGTTATTAACCAGAACCACGCTCCCATATCCCCACCCCCCTCCCAGTTCTTATTCTGAGGGAATGTGATGAGGCTGACTGCGCTTTCCATATCCAAGGCATTATTAATAGGGACGCTGACTGAGACAGTGTGTGCCACGGAGCGCTGGAGTGAGCTACCAGAGGTCTTCTGTGGAACCATAGTGTTCCAGACTCCTCCAACTGAGAATCACTGGTGGTAATGCTAACATACAGATTTCGGATTTCTCATAAATATAAACTCAGAATGAAAGGAAATGGGGCCCAGGAGTCTTCAATTTAATCCTCAGTAGGGGATGGTGACATGAGCTCAAGAATTCAGAATTCAGGAGCGTCAGCAAATTCTAGTTTAATCTGCTCAAAGCCAAGGCCTACCATGGAGCAGGGGCTAATGGGAAGGGTGTGGAACATTGGCAGAGGGTTTACAGATCAGGCTTCTTGCCTAGGCCACACTGGTTTTCCATGCCTGCTCTAGATCCTACTCTGTTCTCTCCACCATGCCTCTTTTACCCATTTACATCTGTCTCTCTGGATCTGTGCGTCCTCGCTTCTGATAGCAGTTTCAGCTCCTGCATCTGGATGCAGCTTTGAGCTCCTCTGCTGCACCCAGCTCACTCTCCTTGGTGTCCCGGTGGACTCTGCGTGGCTACTTCTGCTTGTAGCCTTTCCCACAGCTTCGGCTGAGACCCTTCTCTTCAGCTCTGCTGCATTCCAACAAGCAACTCTCTGATACAGATTTGCTTCGGCCAGTACTTGCTTCGCACCTGCTAGCCTTAGATGGTTGGGACTTTAGTTAACCAGATTCACATCTGACCCACAGCCCATTTTAACTCAAGATGGCTACATTCCCAGCACAGGATGTGCCAGGATGGTACACAGCAGGTGCCTACTAAAGTTATCTCTCGGAGAACAGGATTTGTAGGTTTGACACAGTAACGGAGGATAGTGAAAAGGCTGCAGGCTTCTGAGCCACACAGATGTTCACGTGAATCTCAGGTTCCTTGCCTTCAGCTGCATGGCCTTAGGTGAGACAATTAACCTTTTTGAACCATAAGCATCTTGACTATAAATTAGAAGTGTGGTCTGGGTGTCTGGAGGCTCTTTAGCTCTTGGATTCTGTGATTCTCTGAGGTACAGTACTCCACGTACTGGCTGGTACCCTTCTTTAGGGCCCTAAGAAGGCAAAGCCACTGCAGACAAGTCTCACGGCTCAAACCGAGCTAGAATTGCCTCCTCCCAGCACTTCACGGCACTGTGGCTGCAGATCCGGCAGGAGCACAGTCATTCCAACAGCAGCCTTCAGATCCGATTCATCAGGCAATGCTCTCAAATAATTCGGCAGCACCCCACCGTTCACTGAAGTAATCGCTCTGGCCTCTGCCTGTGAACTCTTTTCATCCACTTCTGTTTATCATTGTTGAAGCATTTTTAAGAATCAAAACAATTAAATATGCTAAATCTCCCTCAGTTAGCTTAGCTCTGCATTAGAAATTACAAGTGCTTCGATGGGAATAGCAGAGGAGGTCCTTTACCTCGTACTAAGTGCGCTGTGGACAGCACCTCTCCTTGCAGGCCCTGCCTCCCAGCCCCAGAGCAGGTGCGCAGAAACTGATATTTCTGGCATCACAGGAGGCATCAGGTGAGACATGCCCAGGGGAGAGCAACCTGTTCTTTCCACAAATGGGAAACTGAGGCCAAGTGGGGGCTGTGGCCCTTTGCAGAGTTCACAAATGGCTGGGATTTGAAGATGTAAGCTTTCCTCCATTCCCTTCTCACAGGATCATGACCTTCATTTACCAGCCATTTCTTCTGGGGAGAAAAAAAAAATGACTGAACTACTGAATTAGAAGGACAGTGACAAAGACGACCAGTAAAACACACGTAAAAGAGAGCGGGGAGTCGTCTGGTCCGAAAACACTTCCTGAAGTAGAGACTATTTGAACAGGAGCTTGGGTAGACTTCTGAAAGGGTGAAGTGGGAGGGGAGACAGCATTTACATCGAGGGAGATCCTGTGCCAAGTGGGGTGGAGCTCAGGGCTGAGTGGAGATGAATGCATGGAACCACTGCTTCAAGGAGACCAAGAGGAGAGAGGCAAAGAAAATGGAGGCAAAATCTAGAGTAACTGGCACACGCCGTGCCCACCCTTCCCTGTCCTTACAGGTGTTTGAATGGCCATCCCATAGGAGGGAAAAGTGACGATGGCTCCAAAGCCAGAGGAAGCTTTTCTTAGCCCGAGCTGATGGCACCATGCCCTTTAAATCTCAGTACTTGGTTTCTCTTTCCCCACTGCAGATCTTACCCTGGAAGATATCAAAGAATGCGCTGGAGGTTCCGGGGGCCTGACGTTTGAGAAAACTGCCACCTTTGAAGGAAGTCTATCAGGACAGTCTTGTGAAAAGTTTGGAGGCGGCAAAAGTGGCAAGTGCTTCTCAGCGGGTCTTCCCAGGAGCGAGGCCAGACTTTCCCAGACACACCACTTCTCCAAATGATTCTCTTTTCCCAGCTGACTACATTTCTCTCAGTAGCCATACTGCAGATGCAAAGAACCCCAAGCCATGCCTTGTGTCTCTCTTTTGGTTTCACCTGCTTGCACCAAAAGTCACCTCAAAAACACTCAACAGTCTAAGGTCCTTTCTAGATTTCAAGGGCTAGACAAAGACCCCAGCAAGAAATGGGGTAAAAGGGGACATGCAGATAGGATCTGTTGTCACCCCACTAGGTAATGGTGCAGAGGGAGTAGGCAGTGTCCCTAGGAGAAGAAATTATGACCTCCATGTCCAAGCTCAAGGAAAGAATGTACATGGGGAGTCAACATTTCTTGACCATCAGTGTGGGTGTTTATAGATTCATTCATTCATTCATTCACTCATTCACTCACTCACCTGAAATCAAGTTTTCTTTTTCTGGGGAGGGACAGAGAACTAAAGCATTATGAATACAGCTTATAATGGAGTAAATGACAAGCATACTAAATAGACTTAAGTTATACACATTCCTTAGGTTGTTTATGTCTTGGTTATTTCGCCAAATCACGCATTTCTAATGACCTCTCAGTCTCTTTTCTTGACCTGGCAAATGTTCAGTTGGTAAACAACTTATTTTTTCTTCCTGACCAGCCCATCCGTCTACTTCCTTCTCAGTGTCTGCACTCAGTACTACGGTGACATCTGTCATAGCGTCTGTGGTATTTGGCAGGGAGAGAGAGCAAGAGTGAGGGAGAGAAGGAGTTAGAGAGAAAAGGGGAGAGAGAGAGAGAGAGAGAGACTATGAGAACAAGCAGCACTGGGTAAAACCCGAACCCATGAATGAAGGGGTGGACAAATAACCATTGACCTTCTCAGCTCTTTATGTCCATGTTGGGCTGGGCTGGCCTCTCCATGTTAGCTCCACTCAGAGGATGTGAGGTTTCTGTCTGTCCCATCCTGCTGGTTGTTGGGTAGAAGAATAGGCCTAGCTCTAAGGAGATGAGATGAACACTATTGTACATCTCAGAAGAACTTACCATCCAGCCCCTTGGTTTTGGAGGAAGAAGCCTAACACCATCATTCTCTTGATAGACAAAGCAAAGGCAGATTTGGCGGTGGAGAACATCATTTCTCGGGTGAAAGGTGGAAGTTCTGGCTTGAGCGGTGGCTTGACACAAAACAGCAGTGCCATTACATACCGGTCCTGGGGGAGATCGTTAAAGTATAACCCTGTTGTTATCGATTTTGAGGTAAGTCTTTTCGCAGCTGAAGAAACCCTACCGTCTATAAGGAATGAAAGTGAAGCCGACCAGATCATTTCATATTTCTTATTATGAGCCCATCAGAGAACAAGATTAAATGTAACGGCACACTGAACTGGTGCCCTTGCCCAAACCTGCCTACGGGGAAGATGTGACTTTAGTCCAGACCCGCAGGACAGCTGGGGCCAGTAAGTTTCTGACAAGTAAGTAACTTGCTGTTGGTCCAGGCCCAGGTGACCAGGGCTAGCCCAGACACCTTGCAGGGTTAGACATGAAGCACCAACTTGCATTTTTTTTCGTGCAAATTTTAAAATCATATCTGGTATATTAAGAGGTTACAAACTTTTGAAAAAAATGCAGTTAATGAATAACAATACAATTGACATGTTAAATAATGTTATAATAGAATGATTTGATATAGCTTTAAACAAAATAAGTGAGAGGAAAAACAAGTGGTAGCACTCCTCCACCAGAACAAACTGAAAAAAAAAAAGAAACCCACTTTTTCTAAGTGTGTCATATAATCTGTGACTAGTCATGTTTAATTCTTATGTGACCATGGTCAGTGGAATGCAAAAAGAACACTCGACTCTCACAATTGCTCCCTCAAAGACGAGCACATGGTGGAGTCTATTGCAATACAAGAATATTTCTTGCTGTCTCAATAAATGGAGAGTTGCAGCCATACATCTAATAGGGAAAGTAGATAAGAGTTAGCTTTACATGCTTTTTTTTTTTTATTACCCAGGTGTCCTTTCTCATCACCTGCTACTACCTTCTCTTGACCCCTGTATAAGTATTTGAACCTTACCCATTCTCACTGCTATTGATACACACACATCTACCTTAATGGCTAGGATCTGCATATGTGAAGGAGAACATGCTTTTTGGAAGGGATTGCCTCTCTCAATATTATGATTTTCATATGTATCTATCTTCCTGCAAGTTTAACTTTTTAACAGCTGGGCAATATTCCATCCTGTAGGTGCTACATTTCCACTAAAGGGGCTGGTAATAAATACTGAACAGATTAGGAATTAAGCCCAGAGAAACTAAATGAAGTGCTTAGGGCTAGATAGTATCCGTGTGATAGTGCCTGGATTTCAGGTCTATGGACTGAGTGTTGAGCTCTCATTTGCCTCTGCCCTAGAACCTTCCTTAAAACACCAATTCTTAGCCATGGGGTAGGGTAGTTTCATTGCTTATGGGAAATATAGCAATGTGCCAGGTCAGTGTTATGGAGATTTAGAGGAAAGGAGCCAGGGATCCTGTTAAGTAATCCCCACAGCACACACCAACACCAGCTAAGTATCCTCTGATGGCATGTCAACAAAGTTGAAAAAAAATATGGCTTTGTTCCTAACTTCACAAACTGGATTATTCTAGCTGTCAAACTGCTTTTGTTAATGTACAAGATAGGCCTTTTAAAACAGTTGCCATTTCAAACTTTAAAGAAAAATATTATTGCTGCTCCAAGTATTATCTCTATATCTGTGCCTATTTCACACATATTTAGACATGCAGATATTAAGTATTTAAACCAATAGATATTTAAGTATTTAAACCAATAGATATTTCTAAGACATCACAACAGTTAAACCTAAAACTCTATTTTAACACCCTGCTTTCTATGAAGAAAAAGGTCAGATGGATTAACCTTGATTTCATTTCTTCTCCCATAAGTAAGGGACCACTTTCACGCACCTGTAATTCACATAGGGTCTGAAAATTGCTATCATCAAGCTATTAGTGATTTGGGCAAAAACTGTAAAATTGATATCAGGAGAACACACACACACAAGCTTTCACAGCCAAGTATGAACTTGTGTTTATCTTGAGCAAAAGTTCCAAGGGGAAGGTTGGGGGCAAAATTTGAAGACTGAAACTCTGTGGAGAAAAGAGCCTGGGGTTTGGGAAGGAGGGAAGGAGAGACGTTTGGATCCTGGCTCATCCACCCTTTCTGGGTATAACCTTGGTCAGTTCCTTCACTTTCAGCCCACCGTGCATAACATAACAAAGAATGACAGCTTATAAAGTCAGAGAGGCGATACCCAGGGAATCTTACATGAGGAAACAGAGCTACAGAACTAATGGACCAGCATAAAAGCCTGCAAAAAGCAAGTGAGAGCCATGTCTCATTAACTCTTTAGCACCTGCCATCTCTTCACAACCTTCAGACCCCAAATTCCAAACTTTACCATCCCCTGAGACATGAAGACTCATATGCTAAATCATGGCCAGGTTTTAGAGTAGTGAAATAAGGCTAGTTTTATGCTTTAATAAGAGAACTGGGAGGGAGGGAGGGAGGGAGGGAGAGAAAGAGGGAAAGCTAGAGAGAGAAATTGAACACAGATAAGCATACTAGGTAGGAAAAACTTGAGACCCAAAGTAAAAATGGTGTCAGCAGTAACTGTTTATAGCAAGAATTCAGATCGAGGGACTCCAAGGGCCATATCATTTTATTCTGCATTAATATACGTGATGCCAAGTATGCATTAGCTTGTGTTATGCCGCCTCATTGCTTGCCTCTCTGACTCTGTTTACTTATCTCTAAAACGGGATACAATCATTGCCAGTAAATTTTAAGCTCTAAATTTTAAGATCCTTTCTTCTGTATCCTTCTGTCTTCCTAAAAGCAACCAGCCCTCCATAGGAGGAGGAAGGGACTTGAGTTGAACCTCCATCATGGTTAGGGGAAGCTGCCCTGTGGGGCTGGCCTTACCTGGAACTGAAAGTTTCCTGTAATCAAGACCCTGGCAGCCCATTTCATGCTCATGTCTAATCATGGGCCCAATTCCCTGACCTTCCAGTAAGCGACTGTCTCTTGGCTGGGGTTCTAGCCAATCCTTGCTTCCCCAGTCTGAAGGCCTCCCCACTGGCCTCTGACCACTCACAAAAGGTCTGTTTGCCCTGAGTCTTTCTGTCCACATTTCCAGGAACCCATCAAAGTTTTGTGAAGTGCCTGCCCTTGGCTTCTGACTGACCTACGGTGGCTCTATCTGACCTAGGCAAATTGTTTCTCCTGCTGTGCCCTCAGGTTCCTCCCATGGAAAATGAGAGCCCTGCAGAAAACTTTCACTTTATGATTTTCTCCAAATACATAGCATGGCAAGGGTGCTAAAGATAACCAGAAGGAATGTAACTGGAAGAGCAAGGCTCTCTCTTTCTCACTCTGTCTCTCTCATTCTGTGTGTGTGTGTGTGTGTGTGTGTGTGTGGCATTGATTTCTGAAAATGTGTTTGGAGACCAAAGGTCAATGCCAAGCACTTTCCTCGTTGCCCTCACCTTATTTTTTGAGGTGGGTTCTCTCACAGAACTCCCCAGGATAATCCTGGCTCTGCCTCCAAGTGCAGAGGTTCCAGGAGCTGGCTGATGTGGCCTAGATTTTTACATGGGCGCTTGGGAGTCTAACTCAGGTCTTCAAGATTATACAGTGAGCACTTCACCCCCTCAGACACCTTCCCAGCATTCGCCCTATTTTGCCAACACCATTTCTAATGAGAATGGCATGCTGCTCTATATTATTCTTTCTCTTACACCATGACCTTACATTCACTTTGGGTCATGGGGATTCTAGAAAGCAGGCTCCACTCCCAGGCTTAGAGGGGGAAACTGAGTCTCTCAGCCACATAGCTATACAGCAAGCCGCATTCATGTCACCTTTTCTAAGTGGCAAGGCCTTTTGCCACATGTGAAGGTAAGGTGATGGTTCTTATTTTCGGATGAAGTGAGGTGCGGTGGGTCACGTGACAAAGATCTCACAGCTGGGAGCAGGAGAACTGTGGTCTTTTTTTCTACCATTCCTACCACTTCTCAGCCCAAGGCGGCTATGCCCTCAGGACATTTAGGAATGGCCTGGGACAAGTTTGGTTTTCAGGACCAGGGTGTCGCTGGTACATCTAGCCTGCAGCATCCAGCGATGGACGCTACACAGCCCGTCACACACAGTACAACGTTCTCCTGCCAGCACATGCTTCATTCCAGTCCACAGTACAGAGGCAGGGAGACCCTGGCTACCTCACATGGAAATGACCCTCTCCACCCACATAGCACTGCACTTAACAGCATTTAGGGAATTCCTTCCAAAGGCAACAAAACTCCCGTTATAAATGTCCGTGTTAAAGGGGACAGACAAAACCTGAAAAGATACCTGAATACGCAGAATCCAACCCATTACATAGCTCTGGCTTTTTAAAGTTCTGGAAGCAACAACCAAGTTGGCTAGGTTAGCAGCTTCTAGGTGCTCTTCTCACACCTGCAGATACAGCCCATCCACCAGCTGCTGCGGCACACAAACCTGGGACCCCTGGAGACCAAACGTCAGAACCTGCGCCGGGCTTTGGACCAGTACCTGATAGAATTCAATGCCTGCCGCTGCGGGCCCTGCTTCAACAATGGGGAGCCCATACTCCAGGGCACCAGCTGCCGGTGTCAGTGTAGCATGGGTCGGCATGGCCCTGCCTGTGAGCAGATGGGAGTTATAGGTAAGACTCGGGCACTTTCTTCTGCCCTTGCCTAGCCTGCACCTGAGAAGACAGTGCAGAAGGAACCTTTGGGATTTCCAGCCTCTTTTTTTTTTTTTTTTCTGGGTTCTCTTACTGACTACCTGAGCAATCCACAGCCAAAGGTTTTGTAGTTCATGCCCATGTTTGATAATTTTTCCATTCTCTTCTTGTTGCCAAGACTTCACTGTGCAAGTCTGCCGGTAGGCTGAAATATACTGGAGGGGCACAGAGAAGATTATATCTGGAGCCTCTAGGCAGGGGGTGCCCAGGCCTTTCCTGGTTTCTAGTGGTTGTCAGCAGATCTTGGAGTTGCTTAGTCTGTAGACAGATCACTCCAATCTCTGCCTTTATAGTCCTAAGACTTCCTTCCCCATCTCTCTCTGCTTTTCTCTCTTTGTAAGAATACAGGTCATTAACTTAGGCCCCAGCCTAATGCAGGTGGCTTTATATAAATGTGATTTCACAGCAAAGACCAAACTTTCAAATAAAGTTCTCAGATAAGGGGGCCTGGGAGTTGAAAATGTCTTTTGGGGGGATGTAATGAATGAATATCAGAAGTTTCTACTAGAAACAAAGTTGGGGCAAATAAGGTCCAAGAGTGTATAGTTTTGACATAAACTCATTAACCAGCACTATGGAAGAAATTTATCCACAGGAGTAAAATCTGTCTTCCTTTAGGATGAAGTCAGGGTACCTGGATGTGAATTCCAGATATTTCATGAACACACACACTCTCTCTCTCTCTCTCTCTCTCTCTCTCTCTCTCTCTTTCTCTTTCTAGGAGAGGAATTCAGGACTTTATACTAGGCAAGTGCTCTATGACAGATTTACACTTCAACTTTCTCTCTCTCTCTCTCTCTCTCTCTCTCTCTCTCTCTCTTTAATCTTGAGACAGGGTTTCACTAAGTTGCCTAGGCAGGCCTTGAACCTGGGATCCCTCAGCTTCTCAAATAGCTGGGATTACAGTCCCATGCTGCCAGGCCTGGCAAAAACCAATAGTATCAATGCCTAAGTTTTAGCTTAGCAAACATACAAACCTACTTTCTTATGATGCACAGAATGAAGGCAGAGTTTGCAGGTTGTAAAGTCAACGTACAAAGCAGTTTTGTTTGGCTATTGTACGGAAGAACATGTACCCAGAACAAGGGAAGCCTGGATGGACAGATCAAAGGCACTGTGTCTGTACCGACCCATGGAAGCACAGAGTGGGTGGGCAAGAGCCACTGGCTCAACAGCCATATGTAGAAAGTAAACAGCATGTAGCCTTCTGGCTCAGTGTCAGTCCAAAGTCTGACACAGCCGTCTCCATAATAAAAGACTAGGTTAATGGAAGAAAAGAGCTAGAACGCCATCCTTCCGACAGCTTCATTCCCATGTGCTGCATCAGATGTTGCTGAAGCAAGGTTGGGATGCTATAGTGTAAAAAGGCAGAGTGGGGAGGACTGGAAATTGTTCACATTGAGAACACTCAGGGCTGGGAGTGGTGGTGCATGCCTTTAATCCCAATACAGAGACAGGCAAGACCTCTGTGAGTTCGAGGCCAGCCTCTGTGAGTCCTGACCAGTCAAGGCTACACAGAGAAACCCTGTCTCGAAAAACAGAACAAGCAAACAAACAAAAAGCAGGATGGACAAGACTCCTGGGAACTGTCCCACAGGGAGGGATGAGACTTGCTTTGCATGGCCATAGAGATCAACGTTTAAGACTACTAGAACAGAGGGATGTTGGCTTAATGAGGAAGGGCTTGCTTTCTGGTCCATTATGGCATGTATGGAATGAAGTGGACGAGGCTGTAGGAAGGGCCAGGTGGAATGGTAAGATTGCCTTAAAGTAGGCTTCCATCTAGGACTCTCTGCGCCTCTGATTTAGACTAGAGAAGGACAACATAATGAAGAGTTGCTACTGTGAAGCTGAAAATAATCCAACTTGCCTTGGCTGGGAAGAACCCCAGACAGCAATTTCCTTAGTATTCAGAGGTGATCTCCTAGCTGATCTGGTTTTAAGATGAGATAATAGTGGGTTATCATGCCCTCGCTGAGAGAGTGTCTCCAAGTGGGAGGCAGGGTAGCACAGCTCTGAGGTCAAACATGCCTCCGAATCCCAGTGTCACCAATTCTCATCGAAGCACATGCTATAAAATGAAATTACAGTGGTTAAACCAGCCAAGACACATGGCAGCTTCCTTGCCACCAAGCAGAAGGGAGAAGCTATTGCATGTTGGATGCTCTACTGACAGAGTGTACCGTGGATGGCCGCTTCTCCGAATTTTTCTTTTGCTCAAGGACAAACAGTTTAAGTCCCAAACTGCTGCTCTCCAGAGGAGAAAATCTGAGAGGACAGATGCAGGAAGGTGAGGGAAAGCCCAAGTTTGAGAAATGCAGGTCCAGAGAACACAAACTCCACCACCAACTACTAGGTCCAATGCTGTTACACTGTTTCCTCCTGGGAGCTGGAGAAGCCATTACCTAACTATTTGGGAATGGGTGGGCTGGGGTATGGGGTGGGGAGGGAAAGATGCTCTGAGCTGATAGAGTCTAGCACCAGAGCTCAGACATCTTCCTGATTTCACCGGCAGGGTATATACTAGATTGCAAACCCCGCAGCCAGGCAACCTTCCCAAAGGGACCAAAGGCCACATGACAGAAATAACGGCTCTTCATTCCAAGCCAGCATCATAGCCGTGTACGCTTGTGTGGGTGCTTAATCATTCCCACTAGAGCCTTATGAGATGAATGTTCTTCTTAACATCATGCTATATATGAAGAGCCTGGGGCAGGAGGAATGTTAGATATCTTGCTGAAAGTCGTGTGAGTGGAGAATGGGAAGGATCAGGGAGCTGGACCCGGGAAGTCTGAGGCCAGGACCCACGATCTTGACCTAATGGTCACGACTGGGCCTGCCCCGTGTTATGCTGTTCCCAAGGGTTTCAGTGAGAGTACCGAACTTGAGCAATCTTGGTAGCAACTGCTTGCAGGAATGGGCATGGGCTAACCAGTTCGTGGATTTCAGTCAGGCCTGACTTCAAGACACAGGTGTGATCCTTGGCTTGGTCATTCTAACTATTCCATTTCTAGGGAATAGTAGAGAAATTGATAGTAAAGAAATTGATAGAGAAAGAGATAGTAGAGAAAAGGGACACTCCTCTCCCAGCGTAGAGGCTGGACGCTGTGACAGTCATGCTGAGCTGTATGCATATACGATGGGCTGTGGAGGAGAAGCAAGATACCAGGGATCTGGCTGTGGATAGGAGACAAGGGACTAGAAGCTGCATCCCAACCCTCAATGCTTCTGCACATTCCTCTTACACTGAGCTAACTGCCAGCATCTCAAGGAGCTCCAGTAGTGCTCCAAGCAGAGTGTGGACATCAGGTGGCCTCAGGGCCACCTCACTGAACCTTCAGCCTGACAGAGGCTAAACTGGCAAGGAAATCTATGACAGAGAAATGTGCCAGCTGCCACAGAAACCCATTAGGACCCCTGGGAGTTGTCCCAGCAAACCTTTGCTAACGGGGACAGAGTCACAGAGATGGGAGAATCCCGCTGTGGCTGACCCATCAGGGAGGATAATTAAAGTGTTGGAAGGTACTTGGAGATAACCTAATCTAATGACGCTCACAGTGAGATCTGAGGAGCCCTAGGGTGCTTGGACTTGCCCCAGGGGAGGAGGATGAGCCCAACAGTCACCTTAGCTTCAATAGACTTGCTCCCCTTTCATCTGAATTACATGCGGCATCATGGAAGATTTAATTTAGGAAAAAGAAATAGTGATATAAAATGATGAGCAGTCCCCATTGGGTTAGTTTATACTTTTCATATAGTCAAAGCCTTAGTCTTCCTGAGGGAGACAGACTTGCAGAGGAGCAGCCAGGGGACCCCGCTGCCCTGGGTGGGGTTCTGTGTGCTGCGTTTCTAGACTCCACGCCCGATGCAAGCATTTGGAAGTTTCTTACTGACACTCTGTCATACCCCAGGACCCATTGCCAGACTCTGAAGAGTTTGGCTTAGAAATTCACGTACCAACTAGACCTCTAGCTGTACCTCTTCCTGGATATACATGTGGCCATGGTTCTACTTCCCAGAGGAGTATGCTTTCTGCCTTGTTCTGCTATTTATCTTCCATACAACCATGGATTCCAGTTTCATGAGATGGGCTCCCAAGTGGCTCATTCTCACTCTGCCCAGAGTTTCAAATTAACTGTGAGGCTGCAAGCACAGAGGTCTTGGTTGGCTACCCAGGGCATTTCCCCAAGGAAATGTACACCATTCTGGAGCAACAAGGTAGCCTCCTGTCTTACGGCCCCAGTCAGCTGCTTCTCCCACACTCACCTCCTCCTCTTCTTACATATCCTGCAGGAGTCATAGCAGATGGCCGCTGGAGCTGCTGGAGTTCCTGGTCAGAATGCAGAGCAGGTTCGCAGGAGAGGAGGAGAGAGTGCAACAACCCCGCACCCCAGAATGGAGGTGCTCCGTGCCCAGGAAAGAGCATGCAGACACAGGCCTGCTGAGTGCCTCTGGATGCAGCCTGGGAAGGAGGCCAAAGATGCTGCTGACTGTCCTGGCTGCTGTGCGGGACTGACTCCTGCTCTGAGTGAATGCCAACCAACAAAGACCATTTTCTTCAGAAACCTGTGAATTTTTTGTAATATAAACCTCATAATTCTTAGTCTCTACTAATTATATAGCTTCAAAGCTGCCCCCCCATTCCAGGGGGTTGTCACCCCTTACTTCTCAGAACCACCTTTCTATTGTGTTCAGGATGCTTAACAATAACTTGAGTGGTTTAGATACATCAGAAATTATTCCTCACAATTCGGGAGGCATCAACGGGAAAAATCAAGGTTCCAGCAGGTCTAGGGGATGAAGAGGGAGTGTTTCATTTTATATGTGTCCTTTTGTTGTGTTCTCACATTGTGGAGGGCTAGGGAGTCTTTCAGCCTCTTTAATAAGGACACTAGTCCTTCTCACGAGAGCATTGCCTTCATGTCTTAGTCATAAATCCCAGCCTACTCATTCCACACTAGGTGTAGGACTTCCATGTATGAACTTACAGACCCCAACATTCAGATCCCTCAGCATATTCATGAGGCTCTCTAATCTGCTTCTCCCAGAAAGCAATCATATTCGAAGGCAGAAACTGTGCAAGTTTTATCAGCACAGTGTCTTCAGAGGGCAAGGGTATGCATTGCAGCCCTCAAGAGTCTTGTCGCTGGACAAGCAGATAGTCCAAGTGTCAGTTCATGGTTGACACCTGCATTGGTCAGCCTCAAAGAGCTGCAGGTGGACTTGGGAGGGTCAATCAGTGAAGATCAAAACCCATTCCCCTGATCTTCCTGAGAAAAACCAATCACAGCAGCCAGGCTAGTGTTCGCACACACCCTAAACCTTGCACATGTTCAACACAGTTGCCAGCTGCCTTAATTAGGGTTTCTATTGCTGTGATAAAATACCATGAGCAAAAGCAACTTTGGAGGAAAGGGATTATTTCAGCTTACATGTCCCACCCACAGCCATCATGAAGAGAAGTCACGGCAGGAACTCAAGGCAGGAACCCGAAGGCAAGAACCCAAAGGCAGGAACTGAAGCAGAGACCATGGAGGGGTGCTGCTAATTGACTTTCTCCTCATGGTTTGCTCATCGTGCTTTCCACGACCACCTTCCTAGGAATGGCAACATCCACACTGAGCTGGGCCCGCCTCCATCAATCACTAATTAAGAAAACACACCACACACTTGCTCACAGGCCAGTCTAGTGGGTGCATTCTCTCAATTGGAAGTTCCCTCTTCCAAAATGTGTCAAGTTGACAGAAAACTAGCTAAACCAATATCCCAGGCTTACCCCTGCCTTCTCTTCAAAGTTGGTTGAATTCATAGCTTGGAAGCCTTTGGAAACAGAGTTCCAACTGTGTACATAAAAAAAGAGGAGACTCTTGGGCCATTGGGAATGAATAAATGAATTGTTAACATCAGCGAATGTAGTGCCCAAATAAATGCTGAAGGAGAGCAACAGGGAGAGTGCCTGTTCACACATTATGTAATAGAGGCACATATGCATGGGGTCTCCCTGGACCTGGGTGGAGTTTTTGATAGACGAACAGGGAGGAGATTTTTTGAAAAAGAAATCCAGCCCAATACAAAGCTTGAGATACAAAGGGTGAGAAAGAACATGGGGAAGGGGGACTTGCAGGTGTACATGTGCTGGAGAAGGTGACTGGGAAAGACAGCAAAAACAAAGAAAATTGGGTCTATAATCCCATCACAGTGCCTGTCACATGGCAAATTATTAGCGTCCATTGTTATTCTCATTGATAAAACATGTGTTCAGAGGTTTATCTAAATAACCTTGGCTCTTTTGTCTGAAAGAATAGAAAAAAAAAGACTCTGTCCTTGCTGTCATGTTGTTAATGTACTTTTCCCTTTAAAATTAGTTTACATTAATAATTAGCTTACATTCATGATTTGGTGATCACTAGCAGCTACTTGCTAGCAAGTGACTGGAGGCCAGGTGGAAGAGGCCAAGTGGGCTCTTGAGGGCTTTCAATCTTGCTCTAAACAGGAGTTCTCTAGCTCCCAACCGTGGCTGCACAGAAGAATCACCTGGGGAATTTCACAAATCCTGGTGTCCAGAAGCTTCATCCCAGACCAATTAAATCTGAATCACCGGGGCTGGAGTCAGCCATCAGCAGTCTGCAATGCTCCCTTGGCAATTACAAGCACAAGCAAGGCTGAACACCGCTGAGGGCTGAAGAGTCATTATATGCCCACGAGGCATGGGGGTGTATGGCATCCAGAGGGCTGGGGTGGGGCAGAAAGCTTGATCTTTGCTATTTTATGTAGGCTTATCAAGGACCTCTCAAGGTTTGTTTTGTGAGGTCTACTCCACAGTTAAGGAAAATAAGTCTCATGGGTCAGAGCTGTGGAGCAGATATTTCCAGCACTTGCTTCCCCACCCCTCACACTGCCCTCCCCCTGACAGCCCCAAGCTCTGTGCTATCTGCCACTGAAGGGTTCTGCACAGTAGTTTGTGGTGCTCAAGGCAGGGGAGGAGATGATTCTGGGAGCCTTGTCAGGGTTTGGTGCAGTAAAGTTGGGGGCAAGAAGGGAAAATTTGGAGGAAGAAACTAAAGCAGGGATTCTTAACCTGTGGGTTGTGACCCCCTTAGGGATCACATTTCAGATATCTAGCGTATCAGATAGTCACATTATGATTCATAACAGTAGAAAAATCACAGTTATGAGTTAGCAATGAAATAAGTCTATCGTTGGGGGTCACCACAACGTGAGGAACTGTTTTGAAGGGTCGTAGCATTAGGAAGGTTGAGAGCCACTGGACTATATAGGACCATACATGAGCCAGACCACCAGAAAAACACAGAACTAAGTCTTTCCCCAGTTGCGTTAGAAATTAAAGGCAGCTGCAGCAACCTTTTACTACATCAGACTCTCCTTTATCAGCTGCAATTCACTCCCACAAAACACATACCTCTTCCGGCACATCTCTCCCTAGGTCCTTTAAGGAAAGCTATAATCTCAGGTTTTATAGGAGTGGGGTGTAAACACATGGTTTAAAGATATACTTTTCAGCTTGACAATGTGTCTTTTGAAAAGTAATTTAACGACAGAGAGAAAAGCAGTGTGGAGAGAGGCTTTCTTCTTTTCCTTCTCTTCGAGGAAGATCTAAAGAGTTCTGCACTCAATGAATCTCTCCTGAGTGGTATGCCTTTGGGGGGAGAAAATGGACACAGAGAAAGGGCAGGCTTCAAAAGGCACACTACAGAAATGAGGGATGCCTCAGTGAAGCCTCTGTGGCTTACAGAAAAGGGAAGATGATACTAACAGAATGGCATTTCACTGCCAGGAAGGCAGGCTCCACTGCCACCCCTCCATTCCAGGAGTGGGCAGGCTAGGGCTGGCTCAGTTAATAGAATGCTTGCCTAGCACACATGAAGTGCTAAGTTCAAACTTTAACACTACATGTCTTAGTCAGTGTTCTATTGCTATGAAGAGACGCCATGATCCAGCAACTCTTACAAAAAGAAAGCATTTAACTGGGACTTACTTACAGTTTCAGAGGTTTAGTTCATTATTGTCATGGTGGGGAGCATGGTAGCTGAGAGTTCTACATCCGTATCTGCAGGAAGCAAGAAGAAAGAGCCACTGGCTCTGCCTTGGGCTTCTGAAACACTAAAGCCCACCCACAGTGACACATTTCCTCCAACAAGGCCACACCCACTCCACCAAGGCCACACCCACTCCAACAAGGCCACACCTCCTAGTCTTTCAAATAGTGCCACTCCCTAAGTATTCAAATATATGAGCCTATGGGGTCATTCTTATTCACACCACCACACTATAATATAAACTGGGCATGAAGGCTCACAAGAAGGTAGGGGCAGGAAATCTATTTATCTCTCTCTCTCTACCTATCTATTTGTACATCTGTCTATCTATCTATCTATCTATCTATCTATCTATCTATAGTAATAAAAATACATTGTGTGGGTAATTGTGAGGATCTGAAGTTTGAAGGATATAAATGAATATAAATAAATAAAGATATAGATAAAGTGAATTGATTATTATAGCTGTAACTACAACAGCTAACTTGCAGAACCCATCTATGTGTCTAAAAACAAGGGAATGCATAAAGAAAATGATTTTCCAGTCCTGACGAATGAAATTATGTCGTTTGAAGAAAATGGATGCAGCAGCAGATAATCATATCAAGTAAAACCAACCAGTCTCAAAAAAAATTTCATTTTTGTTCATTGGGGGTTCCTGAATTTTACATAGATACCTAAAATCATGTTTGTATTTATGACAGGAAAGGAGTGTAGGGTTGGGGTGTTAGGAGGGATATTGCTTTTCCAGAGGACCCAAGTTTGTTTCCCAGCATCCACTACAGGTGGCTCACAGTTGCTTCTAACTCCAGCTATAGGTGACATGACGCCCTCTTTGGGCATCTGTGGGAACTGCATTTTTTTTTTTTAATGTAGAAGTTTTCTAGGGGAACAAAGGGAACTGACAAGAGAGAAAAGGGTGAGAAATGGCAAGGGAGTTTGTAGGAAGAATAGTCTTAATATACTACATATCATATATACTGTATGAAAACATTCTATAACACAGTACCCCACACAGCGAATGTTTTAAGAAAAAAAGATTAATCAACACAGTCATTCATGAATATACAAATAAAGCCCCCAGGGCTATGTTTCTCCTGTGAGACTCAGGGGATGATCTGTTCTGGGCATTCTCAAGCTTCTGGAGGTGACTGCATTCCTTGGCTGGTGGTCCTTTCCTCCAGAAAACCTAACAACAACATAGTAACAAACATAAAATTTAAAAGAAAAAAGAAGTAGAAGAATAAAAAAAGTCAGGTTAACTTCTGGTGGTATCTGGTACACAAGCCATTGCTAGGTGCTGGAGGTACTGAGCCATGGATCTATGAGTACAAGGACTTAGAGTCTGACAGAGGTGACTCATGGACAATGGCAAGGGGTCCCCCGATGAGAAAGAATCCCCGGTGGGGGGGCAGGCATATTATAGTCTAGAAGTCAGGGAAGCCAGACAGACAGGCAAGCCTTGGAAAAGAGTGAAAGGTAGAAAAGCAACACAGCACAGGACCTTACAACACAGAAGCACAATGACTATGACGTCACAGAAGCCCATGGATGTCCCACCAGCCCTAGGGTGGCGTGTGTCCTTCTCAAGCTGCAGATAGTGTGAACCTCAGCTGTGGCCGTGGGCCTTTCTGGGAGTAGCAGGGGTTGTGTCTCTTCGCCTTTTCTGGCTACCTTTCTGGCGTTTCTGTGCTAATCATAAAGCTGTTCTCATAGCTTGCTCTCAGATCTAAAGCCCGTCTACCAAGTGTACCTACGTTGTTTTTCAGATACCCTTAAACCCATTGTTCCAGAAACCTGCTATGCCTGACATGATGGACAAAGCCCTCTGTAATAGTCTCCGGTCTGCTTCCGATCCCACCTCGTCTCTGCTCCCAGCTTCTCCCAGCATTCTTTGGGCATGGCTTAGATTCCTTTCCCAGAAAGCCAACCTAGCTCCTCCTGTGGCTCCACAGCTCATCAGCTGTATGTCCCTGCATGGCTGTCTTCCTACACATTCCATGCCCTGTAACTGTAGCCTGTCTGTCTGACCCATCCACTGACTTCTATGACAGGCAGGGACTTCTTATGTCCTCTCGGTTTTTAGAACTACAACAACTAGGTTATACCCCCTTCATTTTCCCCTGTCCTTTGTAGCAAAGGCCAAAAGTAATGTGGTCTTTGTGTTTGGTTGTTGAAACTTGTAAGAAAGAGCCTCAAAGCAAGATGCTGAGCAGGATTCCTGGATCCCATGACCTTCACAGAGCACTAGAGGACAACCAAGCCTATAGCAATCCCAGAGTCACAAACTATAGAGCAAGCTCACCCCTTTCCACCTTACTGAAAGAAAGTCTATCAAATCAAATTAAAAGTCCTTTATTCGTGGCCTTGGGATTTCCCCCTTCCCCTGCAGAGATAAAGAAAAATATGTCTGCTTCCTGTATTAACAGCTTAAAATGTGAGATAAATCCTCCCATCCTAACCTGTTTTTAACAAATAGACTTGGCTGTCAGGTGGCATGATACATGTCTGACAGATCTATTTATCCATTCTATTTCTTTAGAGATAATGCTGAGAAGTTTTATCTGTTATTTGTTCCCCTCCCCCACTCTCATTTTCCTAACCAAGCATGTGGAGGCAGCAGTTGATGGATGGATGGTGTCTGGGATGAAAGGGGCCAGCATCAGATCGCTTTCAGGCTGTGAACAAACTGGATTATTAACAAGGAGTCACTGGGCAGGAGCTGGTGGGGGAAGCTGAGTGGGTCCCAGACAATGGCCGGTGATGGATGGAGGGACACCTGGTGCTTCAAGGTGTGGACTGGAGATAACTGGTGGCTGTTGCCGGGGCGATAATGGGAGCGCCCGGGCTCTGTGCCTAGTCCTGCTTCGAGGCCAGCGTCAGGCCAGG